CTCTGCCTCCCGAGTGCTGGGATTAAAGGTGTGCGCCACCACTGCCTGGCGAAAATATAATTCTTAAATAAAAATAAATCTATTTAAGAAAAAATACATAAGCATAAGACATATATGAGGAAACCTTCATACTCTTATAAATGATATTGAAGAGAGTTATTAAGTAAACAATCAGAAAAGACCCAGTGTGAAAATGTCCATTCTCCCTGACCTCGTCTAAGCACGATCACAAATCACAGAAAGATACTTTGAGAATGTTGACAAGTGGATTCTAAAGTCTAAGACCAGATTGCTCATTATGTACCAAAGGCGAAGAACATAGTTGGAGGACTCAAAACTCAACTAACATCTGCAGTAATTGAAACACTACGGCGTTGCTATAAGAATACAGAGATTATGGACTATGGAATAGAATGGAGCCCCTTCCTGAAGAAGACACGCACAGATCTGGTCAACTCGTACATGAATACAAAGGAATAAAGCAACACAGTAAAGATGTCTGCTCCAATAATGGTGCTGGACACCGATGGGGCAAAAAAGTGAACGTAGTGATGGGTGGTGCTGGAAAAATGGCTTAGTGGTTTAGGGCCTATATTGCTCTTGAAGAGGACCAGAATTTGGCTACCAGAACCTGTGTCAGGAGACTCATAGCTGCCTGTAACTTCAGCTCCAGATCAGAGAAGCACTTCTAGCCTCTGTGGGCACCTGCACCCATGTACGTGTACACACACACACACACACACACACACACACACACACACACACACACCATACACACACTTAAAAATAATAAAAATAGCCGGGCGGTGGTGGCGCACGCCTTTAATCCCAGCACTTGGGAGGCAGAGGCAGGAGGATCTCTGGGAGTTTGAGGCCAGTCTGGTCTACAAAGTGAGTTCCAGGAAAGGCGCAAAACTACACAGAGAAACCCTGTCTCAAAAAACCAAAAAATAAAATAAAATAAAAATAGTAAAAAATAAATCCTTAAAGAAAAATAACAAAGCAAAACCAAATCTAGATACAGATCTCAACTTCAAGAAAGTTCCAAAAGGATAATAAGTCTATCTGGAAGATGAGAAGCCACAAGACTCTCAGATGAAAAACATAGAAGAAACGCAGGGGAATCTTGAGCTTTCTGTTGTCTGCTTTAGATACGATACTGAAGGCATGATCCACAAAGAGATCATTGGTAAGCTAACCACTAAAATTCTAAAACGGAAAGTATCTGCTGTGTGGCTGTGAGACTCAGAGAAGAACCAGAAGCATCAGTGTCTCTTCTCTACGCCTGGTTGAACACCCAAGCAACAATGCCCAACCTGTCCATCAACCAGAGAGACTCCGCCTCACCAGAAAAAGACCTATACTGTTGATCAGACAACCCACCGCATTAGACGCAAAAGCCGCATACCTTTTTGGGGGCTGGGCTCTTCGTTTTTGGCCTCCTCCTTCTTACTCTTGCCCTTGATTTTACAGTAGTAATTCTGGTGGCTGACTACCCATTTGAGGATGCTGGAAGCCACTGTGCGTCGAAAGTCATCTGGAAGGACACCAAGGCCTCGCTCCCACTGCCCACCCAGAGCAGAGAGGCAGCAGAGCATGCCACATGGGTCTCCCTGCCACCTTCAACAGGTGCTTCCATACTTTCCCCCAGCTGTTCACCCACCTGTCCACACCCAGTCCCGACAGCTCCTCCTCCCAGCCACCGCTCTCCCCTTCTCCTCCTCCATTCTCTGTTATCACTGCCTCACAACACCTCAGAGACCAGAGGGATATTCCAAGGAGTCCCCTTGCTACAGTGCTGGGACCCTTTGAGGTATCTAAGGGGTCTCTCTGGACCAGACCCATCTAGACCATCTAGAATGTAGCCCTCCTCTACTGAAGGGGTCTTGCTTGCACTCACCCAGCACGTAAGCAGAGCAACATAGCTGTGCATTCTGCAGACCTAGGCTGGAGGTGAGCCCAGGCTCTGAGCAGCAGGGTGTCCACACAGAGATTGGAAGTCGGTGGTGATGCTCTGAGCCCGTGCTGCTGGAGGCCTCCGGTGCTCCCTCAGAGCCAAGATCTGAATACTTAAGGGCTACAGCTTCTGTCAGCCTCAGGTGCCTCCTTCCATACTGCCAACATTGCCTATGTCTGGGCTGGCCCTTACTAAGTGGACCAGAGATTGTCGCCATGGCCCTAGGGAAGTGTGGTGTGGTACCTCAGAAAGCCGCTGGTCACTCACCCAAGAATTCCTGCTTCTCGCTCTCAGTGCAGAGGCCATAGCAACGTGGGAAGAAGGTGTTGGGGTTGGCCTGGACGTACCAAGGCAGGCTCCTCATGTTCAAACACAGTCCAATCTCCAGAGAGAATAGTGCATTGGGAACCTCAGTGGTAGCCTTACACACAGTGAACTCCACTGGGGACCCATGGTTGACTTGACCCATGTTCCCTAGGAAGGGGGCTTCCATGGCACTGAGAGTACCCAGAGAGGGAAGAACAGGGAGCAGGTGGGCATATGGGACAGGAGGCGGTGGGTGTTTTGGGGAGGAGCCAAAATCTGCACAGTCCCTCTGGTTCTCCCAGTCGGGGATGGCCCACCCACTCTGACTAAGCCCCAGGCCCTCCCATCCACCTTGGTGGTAAACGATGCTGTCTTCCCATAGTGGTTCAGCATCTGGTCACAGGTCAGGCTGTGATAGTCCACAACGTCCCTCTTGATAGTCCAGAGGAGGTATGGCATCTCGTTCTTTACCAACCTGGACTGGCAAGAAGAGCCCTCTTATCAACATCCAGCATTCAGAGATCTATTCCTTTGAGGTGCTGGGACACAGCTGAGAGCTGAGGGCGGGGGGGTGGACAGAAGCGAGACTGTACTCTGATTATTATGGCTGAAGGTTCCATTTTAGCCGAGGTTACATGACTCTTGAGGGCTACACGTGTTGGGATGGGGACAACCCCAGCCACATGGGGTTTCTGCTGCCCAGAAGCCAGCTGCTTTTTTCTCCACTTGGGGCTGAATATGAACTTGAACTCTTCCTATCCTGGTATCTACGTGGGACTTAGAGATGTGCTAATCCGCTGACTGGAGGTGAATGTGGTGCTCTGGGACCCAGGAGTGTGTTCCAGAGGAAGTTTGCTCCCAGAACCCCTAGGAAGCACCTTCTAGGAGGCAGCTTTCTTCCACTGGACGGAACAGGGGAAGGTCCCAGATTCTGGTACTCACAGCAGAATAAATTAGACTAAGTGCACAGCCAGCTATAAAAATGGAATTAGCGCCGGGCAGTGGTGGCACACACCTTTAATCCCAGCACTAGGGAGGCAGAGCCAGGAGGATCTCTGTGAGTTTGAGGCCAGCCTGGTCTAAACAGTGAGATCCAGGACAGGCACCAAAACTACACAGAGAAACCCTGTCTCAGGGAAAAAAAA